GCTCTTAACCACTGAGCCACCTCTCCAGCCTCAGTTTACTACTGTGGCAGGGTCTCTTGCTGAACCCAGACCTTGACAATTCAGCTGGTCTAGCTGACCAGCTTGTCCATGGATCCCTTGTCTCTGCCTCCTGAGTGCTGGGATGACAGGCAGCCACCACATCTACCTGACTTTTATTTGGGTTATGAAGAGCCACATGCCAGTCCATACATTTGCACGGCAAGTGCTTTATCCACTGAGTCATCTCCTCAGCCTCTCCCATGTCTTTGAGTCAGGATTTCATACTATAGTTCAGGTCAGACTTGAACTCAAACCAATCCTCCTGCCTCAGCCTCCAGAATGCGAGGCTTTAGATGTGATGCACCACACCCATCTTTTTGTTTTGTTTTTGAAACAGTGTTGCCTAGTCTAGTCTTGTAGCCTAGGCTGGCTTAGAATTCACAATTCTCCTTGCCTGGGCTTCCCAAGGGTGATTACAGGCACACACCATGGTGACCAGCTTACATGTTGATTCTGTGAGAATTCTTCTTTTAGAAAAAAAATATGTATTTATAATGAAGTGAAATGATTGTAATTTTTGTTTGTTTTGAGACACAGTTTTACTACATAGCCCTGGCTGGCCTCGAGCTCTCTGTGTAGACCAGGCTGGCCTAAAACTCACAGAGATCTGCCTGCCTCTGCCTGTTGAGTGCTGGGATTAAAGGCTGAGCCACCCACCATGCCTGGTATGATGGTGATTGAAAAAAATGTTTTACATTTATTTATTGTGAGTGTGTTGTGTATGTGTCTGTGTGTAGGTATGTGCATGCATGTATGTGTGCACATGTGTTGTGTGTGCATGTGTTGGTGTGTTTATATGTATGCATGTGTTATGTTTGTGTGTCTATATGTTTATGTATGTGCATGTGTTGCCTGTGTTTCTGTGTGCTTGTGTGTATGTGTGCATGTGTTGTGTTTGTGTGTATGTGTGTTTATGAGCATGCATGTCATGTGAGTTTGTGCTGCATATGTGCATTGTATTTGTATGTGTGTGCATGTGTTTTTTATGTGTGCACATGTATCTGTGTGTGCATGTGTTGTGTATTTGTATGTGTGTGTGTGTGCGTGTGCACGCATATGCCTGTCTCTTTGCGTGTCTAACCCCTCATATCATGGGGAAGCCAGGGCATAGCTTCCACTGCCTCTTTGCTGATGCACCCTTTGCCTCTCTCACCATTTCTTCATGGTCCCAAAAAAACTGCCTTCCTGGGCTTCCCCTTCCCTGCTGCAGACTGGTTTGAACGTGTCCCACAGGACACAGGTCTGCGCCCCAGGTGAGGCCTTGTGTCAGATGTCCCTCCTTGTCCAAGTGGTTGTGGTAGGGAGATGGCTAGCGCTATGTGTGTGGGTGGATCCTGAGGAAGGCAGAGGGGTGGACACCCAGGAGGAGTTCAAAGTCCACTGTGCCTCTCGTCCCTTAGCCGGAGGCATGGCTCCACCCCGCCCGCCGTCAGGTGTTAGGGCACAATCAGGAGGAATCTTGGTTTTGATTTTGGTATGTCCTGCATTATACAAGACCTAGTCTTAAACACACAGCTAGGTAGATTTTTCCACATGTTATCAATACCCAAGATTAAAGCTTAGGAGAGAATGTAGGCGAAAGGACTCACGAGGCCTGAAAGAGGATAGAAAGCCCCACCCCCCACCCCGCCCTCAGGTTAAACTCCATTATGGCTTTTTCTGTTTTGAGTATTTGAAACTGGAGTTACGGATGGTTGTTAGCTGCCATGTGGGTGCTGGGAATCAAA